GTGGCATCTGTCTTTGGCTGGGCAACATGGCTTCTCTCTGACTCTGCCTTCTTTCTCCCAGCATTCAGTTTAGTTTTTCCCACCTACCTAAGTTCTGCCCTATCAACAGGCCAAGGCAGTTTCTTTATTTACCAGTGCTATTCACAGCATACAGAGGGGAATCCCACATCACCCCCTCCCCTCTTTTCTGCTTAAATGAAAAGAAAGGTTTTAACTTTAACATAGTAAAACTACATATAACAAGACAGGCAAGAATTATAGTTACAGTATTTACATCTACTTTATATCTTATCATAACTAAGGAAAACATAGCTATAAATGCTTCAACTCCATCAAAGATTCCAGAAGGGTATAATATTACCTAAGAAAACAGGAAGTGCATTGTAGGCTACTTCCAGAACTCTAGAATTGACAGAGACTTCTTGCTACCTGGACATTATACTCAATTTCTTCTGAATTTATTGGAAAGGTAAAAAGAGAAGGTGGAAGCCAAAAGAATGACTTTTGCATAACTCTCTCCTGTTCTATTATTTTCTGATGCATTGCTCTACAGCTAAGAAGGAACTAGAAAAACTAGTAAACATTGGAACTCTTTTATTTACGAACTAGATCATTCTAGTTGAAGCCATATAAATCCTTTCTTTAGCAGGTGAAATCATTACCATGACGTCATTTCCCTTACCTGTGTCCTGGGTTTTGTTAGTAATCCTGCCATGCCGATAAGACATGCCAATGTGCATTTTTCCTTTGTGATGGAATGGTCACAACTCTCTTCTGTCCACTTTGTACTGGTAGGAGCACTCACCCTGTCCACACACCCTCTCCATTTGTCCTACTCAGGGTTTCTCCTGCTGTGAAGAGACACCATAACCACAGCAACTTTTAGAAAGGAAGAAAAACATTTCATTGGAGCCGACTTTCAGTCTCAGAGGTTTAGTCCATTATTGCCATGGTGAGACTGCATGCAGGCAGACATGGTGCTGGAAAAGGAGTTGAGAGAAGGAGGATATGTCTCACTCACACTGGGCGGAACTTGAGCATATGAGACTTCAAAGCCTGTCCTCATAGTGACAGACTTCCTCCAACAAGGCTGCATCTACTCCAATCAGGCCATACCTCCTAATAGTGCCACTCTCTATGGGCCAAGTATTCAAACACAGGAGCCTACGGAGGCCATACCTATTCAAACCATCACACCATTCCTTACAGGTTTCTTTTCACTTATCTTTTGTCAGCTCAAATTCAGAGTGAGAAATTTGTTTGCCCAGAGGATCATGAGCACAGGTGACCACTAAGACCTTCCATGCTTGTTTTTATTGTAAAGCGACATCCTTTCTGTGAATGACAGCTGACCCTTATCCTGTCCTTCTTCTTTGATTGCCTTTCACACTTGTGTTGGGGCATTGAACATCATTCTGAAGAAACCTGATTTCAGTATGGAAATTGGTCCTTGAGTGACTTGCTCTCAGCTCACAAGTTTTAAGAATTCTTCTTATACTCTGGTAGTATGGCCATTAATAATTTTGGCATATATTTCCTAGCATATCATGTACTTTAGAAATATGCATATGTCCTTCTCTTTTCTTTCATTTTTTTTTCTTTTTGTTAGATGAGTTTGCCAGTCTTGTCTGAAGGTTGTCTCTCCTGCCTCACATATTTCCTCCCAACAATCTTTTCTGTATTGCACTCTACCAAGAACAAAAGGCAACACCACCCCCAATGTCTTCACATCGGGCTTGGGGCACTGTGTACAAACTGATGTTTTCTAACAAATGGCAGAACAATGGGTGCACTTCCTGTCCTCTGGTATGATTTTACCCTCTACTGTTTCCTGTTTCCGTGTGAATAGTATGGTTCAGCTCAAGAGAGGAGACATTGTTTCTATTGCCGCCTTCTCTTACGGTAGGAATTTGATCACATACCAGTTCTCTCCATCTGTGTAGACACTACAAGTGCTAAAGGAGTTACCCTTTGTTGGGGATTTCGTTTCCTGTAATAACTATTCCAATGGAAAATATGTAGCTCCCTTCATTATTATTTTATTACAGAGGTCATAAAATCACCTTGAAAAACAGCCAGGCGCTTGTTCACTGAATGGCACGAATTCAATGATTTTAAAATATCTCCTTAATTTATTAGTAACCTATAATAAAATCCCATAATGAAAAGGCTAAGCAACTGATGACTTAAAGAAGTGGGGAGGTAATGAAGACTAAAGCCCAGGAAGCCAGCGAGTTGTTCTGTGTCTCTTTGCAATGGTGTTTGTACTGAAGAGAGGGTTACAGAAAAGCAAAGCCACATGGAAGGATCCCTTTCTTTAGTTCTCTCCTGGAGATAGGCAAGCCAGGCATGAACAGCTGAACACACAGAGCTGGGAAACTCACGTGAGCTTTACCTTGCAGTGAATCAAGGTCATAAAAGACATTAAGTAAATGTTCCCCCAATTCTGAAAACAGAGCCGAGTACTGGCTTATGACAGTAACCAAGAAAAAACTCGCAGCAGGTTGTGTGGTGAGAAACTCCGCACCCACTTGTGAATGGTGAGAAACTCCGCACCCACTTGTGAAACCCGATAGCCTTATCACTGGACTGAGGGCGACTCCAAGAGTACAACAGTCACATTGTTCTTATGACGGGATCGCCATAGATTCTTCATGATCCGCATACTCCTAAAGGTGCTGGTCACTCCGCTTCACATCTCAGCACTCGGTGTCACTATTCCTTGCTTCTGACTTTCCACTTCAGGAAAATCGTAATAAACACTTGACAGGCCAGATCTCCTTACCTCTCTCTCTGCTTCTTAGTTCATTTCTTGCATTGTGATGCACACCTTTAATCCCAGCATTCAGGAGGCAGAGGCAGGGGGATGTCTGTGAGTTAGAGGCCAGCCTGGTCTATATAGTTCTAGGACAGCCAGGGCTACACAGTGAAATCCTATCTGAAACAAAATATAATAAGTACGCTCCTTTTCTATAGTCAAAGCTCTCCTTAGTCAAGGTAAAGGGACATTAAACAGTTGGCACTTTGCCTGTGGTCTGGAAGAGTTTGAAGATACATTTCCCTGGAAAGGCTTTATGCAGGTAAGAGTCAAATGTAATATGAGTCAAAAAGAACGTATAGAAAACTGCTTTACATTGATACATGTTTCAAAGCTAGATATAATTTATTTATAAATAGTATTTAGATACAGAAATCAATAATATTTCCCAGATCCCTTGTTTATTAGTACATACACGCCAGAGAAGAAAGGTAACGTATTTATGTTTCTGCCATTTGACAGTAAAGCAAGGTTGGGCAGAGTCGGATGTCTTAGCAGAGACACAGGGTCAGGCCACCTGCAAACTACAGGCACGGGGTGTGTTTCTTATTTGTGGGCACATATGAAAAATTTCTCCAAATACACTTATTCCCGTTGCCCATGCTATGAGACTGCCATAAATTCAGCCATATGATTTTAGGTTGACTTAAGTTCGTTCTTTAATTGCCATGAGTTCTGCTTTTAAAAAAAAATTGATGAATAAACAATATCTAAAATTTAACCCTCTCTTTTTTCCCTCGTGAATTCTCTCCCAGGATGAATTTGTTCCACCTGTGCATCATCAAATATAGTCTAATGTGGTGAAGGTAATTTTTTTTTCATTTATTGTTATCTGTAGTATCCCCGGCCGCACATAGTAGGGCAGATTTGAATTTCGGAGATGTGTCACTAGCAATATGTGGCTTTTAGAGTGAATGCCAGTGTAGACACCGATACTCTGTAGCCTGGAGGGTTTTAACCAAGGTTGTCGTCTTCCTCTGTCCCCAGTAGCACCAACTCAGCAGTTTTCACGAAGCACAGTAAAGGAGGCTCTAAAAGACTCGAGAGAGACACCTGCTGTCCACACGGGAGCAGCAGGAGGTTCTCATGATGAATGGAGGTGGCTGGGTTGGCACACGTGCACACACGTCTCTCCAAATGCCTTCAGCCCGCAGCCATGTTACTCTTCTCATTCCGTTCGCACGCCTCGGAGAATTAAAAAGAAAAAACAAAGTTTCCCATGTCTTCCCAGTTCTTATTCCCAGCCTTATAATTTTGAGAATGTTAAAAGAAAAAAGTCACGCTGATTCTTTTTGTGGGAGAGGGAAATCTATCAGTAAGGGACTAGCGAAGATGCAGAGCTGGGTGATAGCATAGCCGTCACCGGGCTCAGCCTGGCCAAGGAGACTGCCCTCTCCAGCTTCAAGGGTCGGTAAGTCCAGGATGGGGAGCAGCTAGAAGCTCAGAGTGTGTGCTGTTCCCTTTAGACTGCCAAAGAAAACTCATGTGTGCAGGTTCTGCCATCTCTTTTAATCTCGAGTTAAGAAGAAATATCCGTACTGTCCCCACCAGATCTCTGCACAGAAGGTAAATGCCAACAAACAGCTCAGAGAACAGAGAAAAGACTGAGGTCTCACACGGCATAAACACAGTCCTTCCTGGGAGAAATATAAACGTAAGCTCTAGTACAGGACTGGGGCTGGATTCTGCTCTGCGCAGTTTGACCTTGAACCTGAACTCTCAGCAGGAAAGTCACCAAGTGTCTGTTTGAACAGGGCTAAAGCTCCAGTCCCTCATCTTTCTAGTGTGTGTTTTAATATTTATGAAGAACACAGAACCACCCTCAGTGACTCAGAAGGGCAATAAAGACCGCTGGTTGAATTCATGGGAAAAAATGCATAAATAAACAAGACATAGAATCCTTTTTTTTTTTTAAGAAATAGGAAAATAGGTTGTGTAACAAAATGACGTCTGCAGTGTGAGAGCCACATCTGGCTCAGCTGCTCCCAGAGTCTCCCCACAGATATGAAGAGTCCCTAATGCAGGTTTGCAAACCACAGCTCATCACCAAGACTAGCATGAACTCATCCTACTGATGGGCATCCATGACACTTTGGCTTGCTTCTTGGCAACATCTGGTGGCACGTCCTACACTACCAGAAAAGGCAGAAACCAAGATGACAAGAGCCAGACCCAGCACCTATTACTTCTTCTCGTGCTTCTTGATCAGCTCGCACCCTCCCAGCTGGCCCCTGGCCCGGCTGTCACCGGGTCTGCCTTCCCTCCGCAGGCTCTCCTGGGAGACTTGCTGCATGGCTCGCAGGATGGCGTTCTGTACAATCTGCTTGCTGGCATGCTGAAGCTTCACCTCCTCTGGCTCAGTCCCAGGCTTCTCACCTAGGCAAAGGCATGAAAAGGAAGAGAGAAGTCCATTTCAGGAGCTGTGTCTCTGGAGGGGTAGGGGAAGCCCTCATAACAGAAGCTGCTATTGAGCCATTCCATTGATTTGCCCTGCACTGAACCCTAGTTAATGTTCTCGCCATCCTAGAATGTCCAACTGCTAGAGGTGGTCACAGGACAGCCCTGGGTATTGAAGTCCTCTGAGAAGTCTGTTAGGAAGGGACATAGGCACACCTCAAGTGTTCATCCCTAAGGACATGTGCATGAGAACACTAAATGGACTAAGTAGGAGATATACATCATATATATCATACATGCAGCACATGATTCTATATATATTACATATAATCAAAGGCAAAGGGGCCATGAAGTCAAGAGTGAGGGTAGAGGGACATGAGAGGAATGGAAGGGAACGGGAGGAATGAATATGATGTGTAGCATGATTATTAAAAACCTAAGGCAGATATTGGGGCTCAACCTGAAGGTCAGAAAACCGAAACAGTCAGCCACTGGCCCTTACCTTGACCCCAATCCAAAATGGCTATCTACCTCCAGGAATCTCAGAATGAGACTGTAAGAGCTGTCTCCTCCCATTTTATATTCCTCTCTAGAGCTGGGATTAAAGGTGTGTACCATTACCACTCGGTTTCTATGGCAACTAGTGTGGCAACTGGGATTAAATGTGTGTATCACCCCTGCCTGGTCTATAAGGCTGGCCAGGGTAGCTGTTTTGCTTCCTGATCTTCAGGCAAGCTTTATTTATTAAAATACAATGAAGTATCACTACGATGATGTAAATAACACAGTCATATAAGAAATTTTCAAGAAAATAATTAAAAAAGAAGAAAGAGACAACAAGGGACTGCTTGCTACTAAAAGAATGTTATTGTTGTTGCTGTTTCTTTTATTTTATTTATTTATTTATTTATTTATTTGGTTTTTTCGAGACAGGGTTTCTCTGTAGCTTTTGGAGCCTGTCCTGGAACTAGCTCTTGTAGACCAGGCTGGCCTCGAACTCTCAGAGATCTGCCTGCCTCTGCCTCCTGAGTGCTGGGATTAAAGGCGTGTGCCACCACCGCCCGGCTTCTTTTATTTTTTTCTTTTTGAGAGTTTAAGACAGTTACAGCATTTTCCCTTTTCCCATTCTTCCCTCCAAAATCTCCCATATATCCCTCCTTTCTGTTCAAAGTCATGGCCTCTTCATTGAGTGTTGTCATATACATATATGTATATATTCCTAAATATACCCCACTCAGTCTATTTCATGTTACTGATATGTGTGTGTTTCTGGTCTGATAAAAAAAAATCAGAAACTACACCCAGAAAATTTCAGCAACATTGCTGCCTAAACATGGGCTGAATTCAAGGGCAACAGCAATAGACACACTAAGGTGGATGAGAGAAAGCCCCGGAGGCCTCACCCCTACACAAAGCACTCCAGGCAACTAAGGAATGCTGAGTGCAGTAGAAACAGTCTCCCCAGAGAAGAGCACACCAACTGCTATCCAATAGCGAATGGTCAGCCTAGGAAAATTAGGGCCTCATTCCAAACCTCCTACCCCACACAGCCATGCAGTCTTGTGCAAGACCCTTAACCTTTTGACATTCACTTGTACACCCATTACAGAAGATTGCCATGGGGCAAAGTGATGTAACATCTATTCAGAACTCAGCACATCCTGGTACCAGATAAGTATCTAGGGAAAGACTGTCACCGTGTATTAGTGAGGGGGCAGAGTACATTGTGGGAACAGAGAGACGGAAGCATGAGACTGCTCCAAGGACGAGGAGACTTATACTCTTTCCTGTAGCACTGCAGATAAACTCCAGTGTGTCTGGTTTGTGGCTCTGGATTATCTGGGGACTTTTCTTCCTCCTGTGTCATTATCCCGATGTTCGATACAATATGACCTTCACCTGCATGAGGGAAAAAGCACCATCCCAGCTGGAGTTGGAAGGAAACAAAAGATAGTTTCCTTTTGAAGACTTGTTAAAGAAGCCAGGCATAGCGGTGCAAACTAGTAATCCTTCACATGGAGGTAAAGGCAAGAGGGTCAGGAGTTCAAGGTCGTCCTCGGCAGTGAAGTGAATCTTAAATGAGAAAGAGCGCCATCTACGTTGAGCACTGACCTAATATTTAAGCTAAGTTATCCATTCTTCACTCCGCCATTACAAATATAAATGGATTAATAAGTCAAAGTTGGTGTACGCCATAGTCTATGGGGCCCCTCAATAGCCAGGCTGGCGTAGCTGATGCCCTCTGTGAACTAATCTCTCATTGTCCTCATGACCTTTTTGTCTTGGGTCATGAATATTCACTTGCAGAGGAGATGAAGAACAAAGTCACTTGTAAGGAAGGCACAAAGGAAGAGAAGCGACCAAAAGCACTTAAGAGACCACTGAAGAAAAAGAAACGTGCGTACTTATGCATCCAGCATTTGGGTGCAGCCCCTGCCTCTCTCCTAGGCTATAAAGAAAGGGACAGGGCAGTGAATGTAGGGACATGAGTCCCATAGACAACTTCTAGCTCCAGCCATTGCATTATCTGGGTTATCCTTTGCCAAGACAGAGTCAGCTCTCATCCGTGGCTACCAGCCTACAACCTCTCCTGTTCTTCTATGCTCTCCCCAGGTCCATGGTGCTCACTCAAGTCTCTGCTTCTCTGTGACTTGTCTTGTTTCCTGATTTTACAGGCTTCTCAGTGGCATCCTGTATCATGAGTTCTAAGAGGTCTTAATAATGAGCCCAGAGTCAGATATAGGGAAGATGCTGAGAGATTAGAGAGACAGAAGAGCAAAACCACAGCCGCCTTACCTACTCAGCTTCCCAGCCAAAAAGAGAGTGAGTTCCTGTCTCCTCCTACCCTATCACTCCCTCTCTCTGCCCAGCCATATCACTTCCTGTCTATAAAGGTTGTTCTGATTCTTTAAGAGACAAGCCACATCCACTCCCTCCCCCATCTGATGAGACAGGCTGATCTTCAGCTTCCAGCCTGAGTTCTCTCTCTTTTCCAGCTCTCTCTTGGAGAGGCAAATTACATCTCTCCCTTCTTACCTCTCTCTCTCTCTCTCTCTCTCTCTCTCTCTCTTTCTCTCTCTCTTTCTCTCTCCTCTTCTCCCCTTCTCCCCTCCCTTCCATACCACTAAATAAATATCCAAGCTCACTCTGCATGGTGTGCCTATCCGTCTCTCTCTCGCCCGCCAGCCACCATATGGCTCACTGCTGCCGGGGCTGCCGGGGAACAGCTACCTTCAGAGACCTGCCGCGTGGTCTCATGCACCATTCCTGCCTGGGACTGGCGGCTTTCGGGATCCCGCAGCAAGCTACTTGGGGATCCGCAGCATTTTTAATTTTTTTTTAAAGATTTATTTATTTATTTATTATGTATACAACATTCTGCCTCCATGTATGCCCGCACGGGCGCCAGATGTCAGTACAGATGGTTGTGAGCCACCATGTGGTTGCTGGGAATTGAACTCAGGACCTCTGGAAGAGCAGCAGGTGCTCTTAACCACTGAGCCATCTCTCCAGCCCCATTTTTAATTTTTTAATTACACTGTCTGTCTGTATAGACCTCCAGGTCTGCTTCTATGTTTAGCTAGTGGCTAACTGCCCCCTGATCTTCAGGCAACCTTTATTTGTACAAACAAGATATCACCACAGTATCCCAGCTACCTGGCCCTTATATCTTAAGCTGAAATTTTCAGGAGGGAGTGTTAGACCTAGTGCATCACCACCAACCTTAGAAAGGCAGGGTCAATTGTTATAACCGATCCTCTGTCTGTCACTTTTTCTGATCCATTCATCTGTGGTTAGGGAGGTCAAACCTACAGGTAAAGAAACAGCTCCTTGAAAGAAAAAAATTCACTTGGGCCCTTGAAATGTAGGCAGAACATGTGTTCTTTGCCCAACATAGTACTGATGTCTAAGCCAAGAATTCATTTGCAGGAACACAGTGTTGGAGAAAATCCTAGTGGAGATGCAGTTTCTCCCGTGAGTATAGAGTGAAGATGTGTAGTAAAACCCGACAGAAGGCAGAGGCAGCCACAGAAATGCTTGGAGCCTTGCCACTTACTTACAGGCATTTAACTTGCTGCAAGGTAATGTTCACCTACGCATTTTAGGTGGCCCACTGCCTGGTTTTTAATGACGCAAATGTCCTCTAGACTAAGTGGCATTTTAAATACTATTTACCTGTTCCACAAAGATGACGAATTGATTTAATTAGCTCTGAAGTCAAAACGCCCAATGCAAAGTCAAGAATGTGATACAGTTCAATTGGTCTTCAGTGTCTGCCTGTGGAAAATTGTTAGTCCCTCCCCCTGCCTGAGCACCCAGAATGCCTTGCTTTCCAGGGTCCATCAGTCCTAATCTGTGGATGTCCAGCATTTCGGAAGTCAACATGAGCTCTGCTACTTCCTGCTATCCTTGCCAGAGCTTCCTCCTCAGTGCCTGTCTCACCCCCCTGGAGCTCAAATTCTAATTGGTCTTAATAAATAAAACCCGGAGTCAGATATTAGAGGACGAAAGCTGAGGATCAGATAAGCAGAGAGGTCAGCCACTAGAGAGACCTTTTGCCTCTACCGATGCTCAGGGGACTGCGTCTGTCTCTACCAAGCCTCAGACAGCAATGAGCTCTTGCCTCCTCCCGCCTTATAGTCCTCTCTTGCTCAGCCATATCTCTCCTGTCTCCACCTCCCTGGTGCTGGGATTAAAGGAGTGGGATCCCAAGTGCTGGGAGCACCTTTGTCTGAATTCTGTTTCTCTTTTAGATAGATTCAATTTGGTGTGGCCCAGGGTGGCCTTGGACTAACAGAGATTCCTCTGCCTCTGTCTCCTGAGTCCTAGGACTTAAGGTGTATGCCACCACTCCCTGGCCTCTAGTGGCTGAGCTTTGCACTCTGATCTTCAGGCAAACTTTATTTGTTAAAAACATAAACAAAGTATCACTACACCCACCCTGGTGGAAAGTGTCTAAAGAATTTAATTGACACCTG